GGAGGGGGTGAAGAGGCAGCGGAGGAGAAAAGGGAGATCTCGAAAGATCCCGTCCCGTCAAGAGGAAAACGGGTGGGAAGGAGGGGAGAGGAGGCTCTAAATTCTCTCGCGAGACTCCTAGGGCAGGCGGACGGAAAGGCGCACGTTCTCTCACAACATCTACAGTACAGGCACCCACAGTGCAACCTCGGTAGCTCCGCCTCCCGCAGAATGTGTCGAGGAAAGCGATGGGTGGAGGCGAGGAGGTTAATTTAAGTCAAGGGGCAGGGATTTCCGGAGAGGCTTTCCTGCATGTGCGCATGCTCGGGCCGTTCGCTCTCCTTTAGGGTGTACTGCGGTGATCGATGGGGTTGGCCGGTCTCTTGTTCCAATGCAGCGCTCTCCCTCTCCCTCCCTTTCCATCTCTCTTCAGCCAAGTCAGCCTATTCCCTTCGACCTCATCGCCTGCCGAGCCTTCTCTGTAGTCCTGATACTAGCCCTCCATTCTACCCGCCCTCCACGACAGCTCTAATGGCCTACTTATACATATCGATAGAAACGTTGCCATCGGAGTAGCTGGGAGAGATAACATTATCTCAGGAGCAGCACACAGTGTTGTAAACTAGTCCTGTGGTGATTCAAATACTGTATGTAACATCGTAAATGGGCAATTTGGGACCATTACTGTACTTCACATGGTGAAGGGGTTTGAGTGTGTCAGTAAAGCTGAGAGCAATGTTGTCAGGAGGTGAGACCTGGGCTCCTACAAAGGTCACCTAAGGCAGAATGGCCTCAGCTCAGCCCCAGACGAAGATGCCTCCACCCTGTTCAGGAGTAATGGCCACACCAGCAGCAACGAATGGATAGAAAGCTCCAGCAGCGATAGAGGCAGCAATGGTAGCTGAAAGTGACACTGGCAGTGGAGGCAATGGCCTGACACTCTAACTTTTGTTAATATTGTATAGAAGGTGGCAATGGTAAACCACTACTGAACTTTCCATACCATAATACTGCTATGATGACATAGTCCAAAATAAAATGAGAAAGTGTGGGAAGAAGAGACTCTCAGGTTGGAAAGCGCCCAGTTACTGTACTGTATTTAAGTTAGAATGTCTAGTACAGGTTGTTTTTTTATGTTATTTTGAAATGTATGTTGATATAATTTAAGGTTTTATTAAAATTGTTGTCTATTGTTATATTCTGGTGTGAACCACCTAGAGTGGCCCTTGGCCAAATGGGCAGTGTACTAAATAAATAAACTACTGGGGAAGAGCAAAGGACAAGTATGAATGGCTACGTTGGTAATCCCACAACTGGATTAAAGCTATAAGGACATCTAGTGACTGATGTGCACAGAAGTGAAAAGAACATTCATTTCTGCACCACACATACAATTGGAACATAGAACATGAGAAGTATGAATCAGGGAAACAATAAAGCAAGAAATTGTATGTATAAGCATTGCATTGTTTGGTGCCAGCGAACAAAATTGGACAGGAATGGGATATTTTCAATGAGACAACTAGTAAGTTTTCTCCTCTGGAAATGGCAAACTCAGAAGAAACTGAGTGGCTCTAATACTGAGGCAAGATGTAGCACAGGCAATTAGAGACTATGATGCAAGATCTGATTGAATAATAGTGATCAAATTCCATGGGAAACCTATCAATGCAACCATTGAAAATACATGCTTCAAGTAACTGAACAGTCAGTTGTATACTTGGACATCACCAGATAGTTAATAGAGAAATCAAACTATGTAATTGGAAGCAGAAGATCGAGAAGCTGTATTCTCCATGCCAAAAGAAAATCAGGAGTAGATTGTGGTAATGACAATTAATTGTTAATATCCAACATTAGAGTAAAGCTGGAAAAGAACACTAAAAGAATTTTAGTGCCAAATACCCTAGTTGACCAGAATAAAATAAAGAGAATGTGTATATAGTGTACTGAAGACCTATACAGAAGAGATAAAAAGATGACAGACACCTTTGAAGTGGAACCCTGTGATGAAGAACCTGCAGTACTAGAAAGTGAAGTGAAAGTTGCTCTGGAAGCACTGGGAAGAAATAAATCACTGGGAATAGCTGGGATACTGATACAACTATTTCAAGCCACAGAAACTGAATCTGTTGAAATCCTAACAGGAATATGCAGACAAATACAGAAAACAATAATGTCCCACAGACTGGAAACGTTCAATATACTTTCCAGTTACTAAGAAAGGAGATGCCAAGGAGTGGAATAACTCTAATTTTGCTCTAGTTTCCCATGCAAAGTGATGATCAAGGTGTTTCAACAGAGGCTTTTTTACCTTATATGGAGTGACTAATGCCTGACATTCAAGCTGGATTCCAAAAACAAAGAGGCACTTGAGATCATATTGGAAACATCTGCGGGCTACTGGGGAGAACCAAAAATTCCAGAAGAAGATCAGTCTATGCCTTACAGACGACAGCAAAGCCTTTGTGTGGATCATGAGAAACTATGGGTTGTTCTGAAAGAAATGGGTGTGCTTCAGCACTCGATTGTCCTGATGTGGAACCTGTATTGTAGACAAGAAGCTACTGTTCTGACACCCTTGCCTCTTGGAAGTACAGTGGTGCCCCGCATAGCGAGGTTAATCCGTTCCGGATTAAGCTTCGCTATGACGAAACATCGCTAAACGGGATGGAAAAAGCCATTGGAACGCATTAAACTTAGTTTAATGCATTCCAATGGCTTCTTTACTCACCGTTATGCAATGTTTCCTCATTGCGACGCCATTTTCGCGCCCTCGGTAAGCAAGGGCAGGGCGCGAAAATGGTTGTGGTGGCCATTTTGGGTCGTGCGGCGGCCATTTTAGAACCGCCGAACAGCTGATTGTCGGGCGTCGCAATGCGAAGATCGGTAAGCGAAACGCTTACCGGTCTTTGCAATGCGATTTTCGCCCATTGGGGCGATCGGTAAGCGATCGCATTAGCGATCCCAAAAAACGGATCGCTATGCGATTTCGTCGTTATACGGTGCACTCGTTAAGCGAGGCACCACTGTAACTCTGTCTCTTCCTATTCTGTCCTGATTTCCAGTAGGCAAAGTTGTCAGAGAAGGGTGCATTTTATCCCCTTATCTGTTCAATCTGTGTGAAAAATACTGTATATCATACAAAAAGCCAGACTAGATTTAGATGGAAGAGGAGTGAAAATTGGTGGAAAAGGCATCAGTAATTTAAAATATGCAATTGATACTATTTTACTGGCAGAAAGCAGCAATGACTTAAAACAACTTCTGATGAAAGTGAAAGAAGAAAATGGCAAAGTAGGACTGCAGTGGAACATTAAGAAGTCAAAGATCATTACTACAGAAGAACTATACCTCTTTAATGTAGATAATGAAGAAATTTTAATAGTGAAAGATTTTGTATACCTTGGTTCAATCATCAATCCAAATAGAGACTGCAGCAAAGAAATCAGAAGACTGAGACTCAGAAGGGCAGCAATGAAGGAACTATGTATAAAATATCATTTACTTAAGACCAAGGACAAGACCATCCACACTCTTTTTTTCTCGACTGTGTACAAGTATGAAAGCTGGACAGAAAAGAAAACGGACAAGAAAGGAATTTATACATTTGAATTTATTTGCCTTGTGTTTACAAGAGTTGAGCAGCAATTCGTATTGTGTTCAGTGATGGTTTGGTTGGTTGGTTTTTGACTTATGTGACATCAGGGTTCACTTATATGAGTACTGTAAACTCATTCCACAGTGAAGTATTCAATAAATGTTGCTAGACTCAATCCTAGGAAGATAATACATCCTGGTGTATACAGTATATTGCTTTTCCTCAGTACAATGTCCTCATAATCCATTTTCCTCTTAGTGGTTATCATTTTTATCCTATGGGTTAATTAAGAAGGCTCTCAAATGAAAAAAATCAATACATTGTATTTATAATATTTATATACTATTTTTCAACCAAACTCTCTAAATGCCATTTACACAATAAAAGGCAGCATGCACACGTGCTGCACTACAGCTGTTTACTATCTCAGCAGGGCCAGACTTTTAGGTATAGATATTTCAAAGGAAATCACCAGGACCAAGAAAATGTCCACCGTCAGAGGCAGATGGAATGATACAAATTTCACATGCAGAAGATATTTTATTAAAACCCCAGCTGTGAGTTCTGTAGGATAACCTCTGTCAGAAGCGATGTGTGAGTGACAAACTCAGGTTTCCTGGATCTCTCCACAGTTTTCTTGAACATCTCAACAATGCTTTTAGGTAGGTCTAAGTTGGGAATGGGTGTTCCTGAATTTTGCTAATTTACAAACAGGTCACTGTATCAATATGATTAACAGAAAACAAAAGTACATGGCACCTTTTAAGAGATTTATTTCAATGTGTGTTTATATGAATTTGAATTGACATTTTGATTTAAAAGAAAGTAAAAGAAAATTAAGGCACCTTCAGGACTGATCAATTCATTTCCATTTGTGGATACAATCCATTTCAGACATTACTTCATTTTTTTAAAAAAATATACCAACAGATTAAGATTTAGAGGCCTAGGACCCTTTCAGCCTATAAGAGACCCCTTCCCCGTTACCTTTCCATAGGTATACAACCCTCCTTTATAAAGTTGATGTGTTGGTTAGAGATATAGGAAGAGAGAACAGAAAAGTACTGTTAATTAATCAGCGTACACAACTGAAATTTGTATATTTTCATCCAGTTATATAGTCTCAAGGAATGAGATAGCTCTTGAGCCAGTCAATAGTACAAAGGGTAAAATAAGGTCACAATTGAAACTAAAATTATCACAACTCTGTGTACTTTTCACTTTCATTTTAAAGACAGCCTCTGTCAGTACATGGTTGGAACGCAGCGATATGCTTACGTCAGAAATGCTTTCATGGCAGTATCTTATTTATTTATTTATTTATTT